GAGCAAGCGTCCAAGATGTTCTGAAGGCTCCGCGCAGGAGCACGATGCAGGAAGGGCCCATCCTTGACAGTTAGGACTAAGATCTTTTGACCCCCCTAAATCCCAAAACTTCCCTGAACCCTAAATCCCAAACCCTAAACCCTAAAGCCAAAATCCCTAAACCCTGAACCCAAAACCCTTCAACCGTACAGACAAAACCCCCAAACCCTCAACCCTAAATCCCAAACCCCTAAACCGTAAGCGCTAAATCCAACACCCCCCAAACCCGAAAATCCAAAACTCCCATACCCTAACTCCAAAACCCCTGAACCCTCAACCCAAAACCTTCAAACCCTAAACGCTAAACCCAAACCCCTAAACCCTAAATCTACAACCCCTGAACCCCAAACCCTAAATCCAAAACCCCTGAACCTTAAATCCCAAACCCCTAAACCCTAAATCCAAAATCCCTAAACCCTGAACCCAAAACCTTTAAACACAAAAACCCCAAACCCCTAAACCCTAAATCCAAAACCCCTAAACCCTGAAGCCTAAATCCAGAACCCCTCAACCCCTACGCTCGTAAACCCTAACTCTCAAAACCCCAAACCTAAACTCAAAATGGAAAACCCTTAAACCCTAAACGCTAAAGCCAAAACCCCTAAACCCAAACGCCCTAAACCCTAAATCCAGAACCCCGAAACCGTAAACCCTAAATCCAAAACATTAAACCCCAAACTCAAAATCCCCCTGAACCCTAAATCCAAACCCCCCAAACCCTAAAGCCTAAGTCCAAAACCCTTAAACCGAAAACCCCTGAACCCTAAACGCTAAATCCAAAACCCCTAAACTCAAACACCCTAAACCCTAAACCCAGAACACCAAAACCGTAAACCCTAAATCCAAAACAGTAAACCCCAAACTCAAAATCCCCGTAAATCCTCAATCCAAAACCCCCAAACCCTAAACCCTAAATCCAAAACCCTTAAACCCAAACCGAAAACCCTGAACCCCAAACGCTAAATCCAAAACCTGTAAACCCTAAATCCAAAACCCGAATACCCTAAACCCTAAATCCGAAAACCCCTAAACCCTAAATCCAAAACTCCCAAAACCCCTAAACCGTAAACCCCAAACCCAGAACCCCCTAAAGCCCAAACCCCTAAACCCTAACTCTCAAAACCCCAAAACCTTAATCCCAACACCCCTAAATCCAAAACACGTAAACTCTAAACCCCAAACCACCCTCAACCCTAAATCCGAAAACCCCCCTGAGCCTTAAATTCCAAACCCGTAAAGCCTAAATCCAAAACCCCTAAACCCTAAACCCAAAAGGCACAAACCCTAAACCCTAAATCCGACCCCCTTAAACCCTGACCGCTAAACCGCAAACCCTGAATCTTAAATCCAAGACCCCTAAACCTTAAATCCCAAACCCCAGAACTCTAAAATTCCAACCCCCAAACCCTAAACCCTAAACCCCAAACCCCCAAACCCTGACCACTACATCCAAAACCCTTAAACTCTAAACTTTAAATCCCACAACCCCAACGCCCTAATCCCAACACCGCTAAACCCTCAATCCTAACCCCCTGAACCTTAAACCCTAGACCCCAAACCCTTAAACCCCTAAACCCCAACTCCAAAGCCCCCAAACCCTAAACCCTAAATCCAAAGCCCCTAAACCCTAAACCTTGAATCCAAAACCCTGAACCCGTAAACCCTAAACCCAAAACCACCCCAAACCCTAAGCCCTAAATCCAAAGCCCCTAAACCCTAAACCTTGAATCCAAAACCTGTAAACGGCGCTGCGCAAGAAGAACTGAAGCGCTTGCGTGTAAGAGTGCAGTAAAATGACAGCAGCATGAATGTTCCAACTGAATGTTCACGCTAAATGCTGAAACTGAGGTAGTTGAGGTCTCCTGTAACTGTGTAACCCGACCTGGCGGTAAGAACCCCGTGTCGTTTGTGCCAGGCATCAAATGTCCGAGGGGTTGTAAAAAAAACTGTAAGCCCTAAATCCAAAACCCGAATACCCTAGACCCTAAACCCGAACCCCCGGGTTCCAAAGCCATTTTGGCTCAAGGCTTGAAGGCCGCTAGAGGGTTTAGGTTTCCGCTTTCTCCCTGAGCTTCGGGACGCTGTGAAGGGCAAGGACTTCTGTGGTCGCTCTACGCGTGTACCTGCTGAGGGTTCTGTGCGAGGACATAGTAGGGGGTGTTGAACGAGGGTGTCACAGCGGTCTGCTGGCCTTTGTCCCAGTGTTGAAAATCCTGCAGGGTGCGAGTCTGATCATCCGGGCTAAGCTCACTTTGGCTGACCGCTAAGGCTGTCGAGCAGATTCAGGACCAATGGCGGCGCCCCGAAGAGTGCCTGATGGAGAGGACCAAGACCTCCTGGAAGTGGCCTCCCCTAAGAAACCCAGGTGCCAAGGGCTGCGATGATGTGTGGCTGTTCCTGCAGTATGTTGTCTATGTAAGCAAACAAGGAATGTCTGATCCACAAGAGCAGGCGCAGCATCCTGACAAGGAATGAGCACAAGCGGGCAAACCAATATGCTGAAAACGATGCTCCGAAGGGACAGCAGGAGCATGCGTACAGCTCACCCCCCATTTGCAACATATTGAGGCCTTGCTGGTCTGGCGCAATCCGTATGGACTTGTGGGCCGCTCCTCGAATGGCGCTTCACATGAAACCGGGGAGAAAACTCCGCTATGCGGTATGTCATGAAAATAGCCTGTCGGCACTCCGTGAATCAGACATGGCCAGAGAGCCGAGTCCACGTCAGCTGCATGTGCGGCCAGGGCCTGAAGGGCGTGCAAACAGTATGGCTGCCCCGCTGGGACTGTCCAGGAGACGGGGCCGTCTCAAGATGCAAGGTGGGCGGCAAACAAGCTCTGTCAATCGAAGTCTCTGAGGAGCTTTGACGGCCAGCAAGTGATCACGAAGGTGCAATGCGCATGGGTTGCAGCTTGTCTTGTACCCCTGGAGGCGGCGTGCTCCAGTCAGGCAGTGACGCGATCCCGCCCGTCATTGTTGGCGCAGGGGAAGCGGGCCTGAAGCGGTTTGTGTGGTATCTGGGACTCCGGGCAGCTGCTGCAGATCTACAGAGGTGGGAGGTGCCTGGCTTTCGGGAAACAGAGTGTGCGCGATGGATGCATACTGCTGTGCCAGGTGGCCGGATATTCTGCCGTCTCACGTGTGATTTGAAGTTGCCAGAATCGTCTTGAACGCCTGCGTAGGGTTCGTGAAAGTCTGAAGGGCGCTGGCGTGCGGACGCAAGCTCCTGAAGTGGTCTGAAACAAGTTGCAAGGGCCCAATGTTTCCGGAAAT